GATCATTACTTCCCAATACTCTTCTGACCTATTAATTATATATATTTAACAAACATTTCCAAGTATTTTATTAATTATCTTTGCTTATTAATTAGGCACAATGTAAAAATTTATATAAGTATCAACAAAAGACGAGTATTCAATTTAAATCAATTAATGATAGAAGAAATAACAAATTTTATTATTAAAAGCAACAAGTTTATATATATATAGTTTTGTCAACTAAGTAAAAAATGTTAATCTTTATACTAAAAAAAAGGGGAGAGTGAAATATACTAAATTGTTTCAATAAATTTTTATTGAAAAGTATTAAAAACCATATTTTTATAACATGGATTAAATTATTTTTTGTCTTTTATTGTGATACTTTATTTAAAATGATATTTTTTAATGTAATTTTTATCTTAATTTTTCTTTTAAAGAGATAGATATATAAAAACTAATCTCTTTTGAAAATGGTCCTTATAATTTCCCAACATAAAAAGGAGATATTGTGGGAACATTCTATTAATTTACCATTTGGAAAGTAACAGAAGGAAAAGCAAAGGAACAGGAAATTCCATTGCCCAGAAACTTACCTCCAGCAAAAGGAGACATCATGGAAAATTTTATTCACTTACCTTAGGTGACGATAAAATGGGGTAAGAAATTCACTTAAAACTTTGTAAAGAATAGAAAAGGAAAACTGGAACTTTCAAAGAAATGGGACAGCTGGCTTTAGTCAATTATTCACATAGTGGCAGAAAGCAGGAAAAGAGAAGCATTGACTAAGCAAATGTACGAAAAAGCAAAGAGCAAATAGGAAATATCACAGAAACATAATTGCATTAGCTAAGTAGAAATCCATATGCCGACAGTGGTGTCTGTGGTCTATAAAAACAGGGCTGCATTTCAATTCCTCTTCATCTGTGCTCAGTTTCTCACAAACACCATCTCTGTTTGTCTCTCAAGATTCTCTTGCGTTTGCTATCTTTCTGTGTGGCTAAGCATTTTAGGATCAGATCTGGCATTTCAATAGTAGGCTTTGGGGGCATAGGCAAGACAACATTAGCAAAATCAATATGCAATACGGTAAAAGAACAAAAGTTGTATGATCTGGTGGCTTGGGTTTGTGTGTCCGAGGAATTTGATGAAAAAACAATATTAGGAGATATGTTAGAATACCCTGATGGCTGTGTTGGTCGAATGAATAATATTGATGCACTAATTCAAAAGCTTGGGCAGAAGTTAGAAAATAGAAAATTTCTTTTAGTTCTTGATGATGTGTGGAATGATGATAGAGACAACTGGGATAGTTTCAAATCTTGTTTGTTAAAAATTTTAAAAACCAGTGGAAACTCCATTCTTGTGACTACTCGTAGTGATAAGGTAGCATCCACAATGGAGGCACTTCCAATGCAAAAACATTTTTTTTTTTATCAGCAAAGAAAAATATTATTTTGGAGGTACAAGGGGTACCTCAACCCATTATAACATATTAACAAAAAGAGCCGACAAATAGGATTTGGGGTCACAGAGCCGTATCCCAAAACAAAAGAACATTACTGTGCATGTATCCTACAGGCTTCCTTTGGACTGTTGAACCAGATTGAATGGGGTAGGTCTGGGGTCAATCTTGCTTTGATCCATGTATAAGAGTGGGCTTTGATGTGGTCAATAACTTGTTCAATACGTTGTGTTTCTCCCTTGAAAATTAATGCATTTCTCCACAGCCATATAGACCACACTGAGAAAAACCAGATTGTTGACCAGGCTTCCAATGCAAAAACATGATATGGTAAAGTTATCAGATCATGAATGTTGGTTGATAATTGAGGACGTAGTTCTTAGATCATCAACATAAACTTCAATACCTTTGGATTTAGAAGGTATTAGACAAGAAATTGCCAAAAAATGTGGGGGTTTGCCATTAGTTGCAAGTGTAATTGGTGGAACATTGAGTCATGAAATGAAGAAGGATAAGTAGCAAGAAATCCTAGATAGTGAAGCATGGATTTTGCAAGATGAAAATAAGAAGATTTTATCTATATTGACAATGAGTTTCGATCGTTTTCCCTCATCCTTAAAAAAGTGCTTCCACTACTAGAAAAATGACTAATTCATGTTGTACCTATGATTTTGATGATTACAAAACACATTTGAGTGACTAATTGGTTTATTTAAGTGTGTAGTTAAGTTGCTAAAAGATTGCAAGTAAACTTGGATTGCACTAAAAATAGACCAAAAGGATTCAATGTGCAGAGAGCCGGCTCTGGTAAAGCTGCAGCCGGCTCTAGTGAAATGGAATGCAGAAAGCCGGCTCTGGAAGCTGCAGCCGGCTCTACAGGCAAAAATTTGAAGACCGTTGTTTGGCGCGCGCGGAGAAAAGGCGCAAAGCCGGCTCTGACTTTGTAGCCGGCTGTGAGGATGCATTTAATACACAACGGTCGAGTCATTTGAAGATTATTAATGTATTTAAAGTCGGAGTTGCAAAGCCGGCTCAAAGTTGTGCAGCCGGCTCTCGAGGAAAACAGAATGTGCTGCAGACCCGGATAGCCGGCTCTGGAAATGTAAGCCGGCTCTTCAGAGCCGGCTCTAATATGTTAAGCCGGCTCTCCTGACAATTCTGCAGCTCGAGCTTTGTGTCCTGCAGAGCATTTAATGACCCCCAACGGCTAGAAACGGCCATTTTCGAGCAAGGGGCTATAAATATGGTTGGTAACAGATCTGAAGAAGGTTAGAGAACATTGCATTGAATATCTTTACCTACCCACTAGAGCTTTAACTTGAGTTTTTGATCTTTGAGTGATC